GGTTTTGGGGTGGGCAGGCTCAGCAGCGCCAGAGTTGGGCTGTGCTGAGGCTGCCCCATGGACAGTCTGGGAGCTGTCTGGGATGTCCCCAGGCCACCAAGCAGCAGAGTGAGGATGCCCAGGGAGTTCCCTCAGTCCCAAGGGGTGTCCTGGATACAGAAGCACACTTGGAGCACCTTTCCCTCTGCTGCCCTGGCACAACTCAGCGTTCCAGTGGAGCAGCAACCCCAGCTCCCACCCCGCAGCCAGGGCATCCCTCCTCTCCACCCCCACAGAACCAGAGTGAGCCTGAAAATGGCAGTTCATTAGCTTTAATTAGTTAAGCTCAGGGGACGGGCTCTGCTCTCACCAGGGCAGCCTCTGCCCTCTCCAGTCCCAGAAGGTGCCGTTGCTGGTGGCCGAGAGCTGGGCCAGCAGGCGCAGGACACCCCGCACGCTCTGCTCCACCGTCACCGGGCCCTGCTGGACCCCAGGGAGGGGACAAAATGAGCCAGGACCCCCCACCCCAGCACCCCCATTCCCATCCCATGGCGTGGTGGGATAGCAGCTCTGGCTGGGCTGGGCTGGGCTGGGAGGTGGGTTGGGTGGGTTGTCCCCAGCTTGTTGCTGTAAGGATGGAGGGTAATTTTTTGGTTCCTAATTAAAAAGTGACTCTTTTGTCAGCCAGTGCAGGGTGAAGGGGCAGCCAAGTGCAGGGCCGGGGTGCCCTCTGCTGACACACCAGCGGGATGGGAAAGGAAATAAAAAGGCAAATAAAAAAGGGGAGGAAATTGGATGGTTTTGTGGGAGAGCCTGGGATTGGCTCTTTGCTGTGGGGGTGCAGCCACCCCAGGACTGAAGGGCACAAGGGGGAGTGCCCAGGAAAGGGATGCCCCTGGGAAAGGATGTCCATGGGAAGGGATACTTCTGGAAAGAGATTTATTTGAGAGGGGGTGTCTTTGGGAAGGGATGACTCTGAGATGTCCGTGGGAAGGGATACCCCAGGAAGGGACGCCCCTGGGAAGGGATGACCCTGAGAAGGGATGTCTGTGGGAAGGAATGTCCGTGGGAAGTGATACTCCAAGAACAGATCCCACTGGGAATGGATGAGCCTGAGAAGGGATGGCCTTGGGAAGGGATGACCCTGGGAGGGGATGCCACGGGAAGGGATGCCCGTGGGACTTTGCTGAGCTAGGATGGCCAAGCACCTGCCATCACTCACCATGCCCCGTTCCAAGGGAGGGGTCACACAGCCAGGGTCCACAGACACGCAGAGGATCCCGCTGCTCCCGTACTCCAGGGCCAGGCACTTGGTGAGCATGTTCAGAGCAGCCTGGGAGGACAACCCACACCCCCTCACCATCACCAGCTGGCAGTGCCAGGGCCCGTGGTGGGGGGAATCTTTCAGGAGGTGACCCCCAGGCTCCTCCCCATCCTCCCTGTGGCAGTACCTTGCTGCAGCGGTAGCAGATGTCCTGCCTCTCCTCCCAAGCCTCCGCCACCTCGATGGAGCCCAGGATGCTGGAGATGTTGACGATGGCAGCTCTGCTGCAGCTCATCTCACGCTGCCCTTCAGCCTCAGCCGCTTCCCTCAGCAGGGGCAGGAAGGCCTGCAGGGGATTGGAGCTCTGGCATCCCCATCCTCTCCCTCCCTGTTCCCAGCATTTGGGGCAGGGGGTGCCCGTGGGCTCACCTGGCTGGTCTGCAGGGGCCCGATGGTGTTGGTGGCGTACACGAGGCTCATGTTCTCAGCCGTCTCGGTGGCCAGCGTGCTGCGGCGCGTGGTGCCGGCGTTGTTGATCAGCAGGTTGAGCCCAGCACTTCCCACCTCCTCCCGCACCTTCCCGACCGCGGCCTTGATGCTGTTGGGGTCCGTCACGTCTGCAAGGGGACAGGAGCGCTTTGGGGACGGGCTGGTGGCGACATCCCCGAGGAGATGCTGTAGGACAAGGCAGGAGGCAGCTCTCTGGTGCCATCAGTGACCTGGTTCAGCTGGGCCCAGCTGAGGGATCCGCCTGCTTGGTGGCATTTCCCGGAGCCGCCCAGGGTCGCAATTAAATCCTGAGAGGCTTCATCCGCTTCCCGCCCCAGCACTTACCCAGAGGCAGGACGAGGACGTTGGGAAAGCCCAGAGCCACCTCATTGACAGCCTACGTGGAGAGAGCAGAGCGGAGGAGGTCGTGTGGGGAGGGGGTGGGAACAGAGTGGCCCTGCATGTCACGGCCGACAGGTTCCAACAGGATCCAGCGGGAGCGATTTGGGGCGAGTCGCCGCTCCCCTGAACCGCTTCAAATCCACCGGCAGCGACAACCCCAGCAGGGGGGCTGCCAGCAACACCCCCCCGCGCTCCCCGTCACGCACATATCTACGCCAAGAGAGGCAGAATAATTACACACATACATATTTAATGCACAGATAGGTGTTTTAAATATTTTATATAGATATATGCGCATTTTTGTGCTTCATATATATATATATATAGAGAGAGAGAGAGAGAGAGAGAGAGAGAGATGTATTTTGTATGTGTTTTTCCAGGCCATTCCTCATGCAGGATGGTGACGCTCAGCACCCCAGTTCCAGGTGGGATGGTGGCATCCCCGGGCACCCTCCCCAGAGCTGACCTCTCCCTGCCCCCCCTGCTCCAGTGGCCTCCCTACCTTCCCCTGGGGGTCCAGGCAAGCAGCGAAGAGGTGCCGAGGTGGGCTGGGCTGCTCCAGCAATCCCTTCAGCAGCGCCAGCCCCAGCCCCCCATCACAGCCGGTCAGCAGGACGCTGCCCACGCCAAACCCCTCCATCCCCGCCGCTCACCACGCCGGTTGTGCCGCCCCAGCAGGGTTTGGCAATCGGTAATCCGGGAGGTGGCAACGCGGGTGCTGCTGGGATGGGTGGAGGTGTGGGGGGCACCGCCTGCACCCCCTCTCCTGGAGGGCATGGATGGGGCAGCAGGATGCTCTTCTGCATGCTGGGTCACCCATCACCTTGACCATGGGGCTGTCTCAGCCCTCCATCCCCCAAAATACCCACTCCCTCCAGCCACGGGCACCCCAAAGGGGCGAGAGGGCCTTCCCAACCGTCCCCTGTTTTTTGGGTGAGCCCAGGGGACCGGAACATCCATAGGAGTGCAGGCGAGGCTATTAATTACAGTACAACCTTTATTAATACTGGAATCTTCACAGTGCATTCGTTACTTGTAGCAGTGACTATGGAAAACAGGGAAGGGGTGTAAGGGGGGGGGGAAGAGGGGAATTACCACCAGAAAAAAAAAAAAAATTAAAAGGAAAGAGGGAATGAAAGAAAGAGAAATAAACTTGGCAGAGGGATGGGGAGGAGGGGAAGCGGCGGCAGAGGCGGGAGCACATTGGGTAAAAAAAAATAAAAAAAAAAAAAAAAGAGTAAGGACCAAGTTAACAACAGCACCAGAAAAGTTACTTCAGTCGAAAGACAGGTCAGGTTTTTTTTCTTTTTTTCCAAGGAATTTTTGTTTTCTGTACAAAATAAGAGACCCCCTCCCTCCCTCAAACCCAAACATTTGTCACTTGGCATCAGCGGTTCTGGGCAGGAGAAGGGGAAAGGGGGAGGACTAAATGGTTATTCCTAAGGGGAGGGCTGGGCTGGGGGGGCTGCGAGGCGACAGACAGCGGGGTGGGGGT